TCCCCCTACTTTGGAAAGTACTTCTTTCCAGCCCTGGCAGTCTTCAGTCCATGCCAGGTGAGATCCACTGGCATCTGGCTGCCTCGTGGGTCGCCCTGAAGTGGCTTACCTGCCCTCCCCCCACTCACCCCACCCACAAGGAACTGCCCAGAGCCACTTCCCAGAGTGGGCAGTTTCCCAAAGCCACATGGTATGGGTGCCCATGCTCTGTGCACCGTGGTCACCTCTGCAGATCTCTTGTCATTGCTGCTGCTTGTCTTTATTATCTGGTATGTGCCTCTCTCGTGCACTTGACTAAGCTCTTAAAGGCAGGAAGTGGTTCTTAGTTAGGTATCAAGCCTGGTATCTGGTATTTAGTAGGTACAAAGTAAATACTTGACGAATGAATGAATGCTAGGTATGCCTAAGGCACTAAGTGCATATGTGTATGTGGCTGATTAAAAACAAGGACCTTGAAGGATTATAAGACCCACATGGAAATACTGTCACAAACACTGCCTGACAGTAGCCACCCTAACAGGTGGCAAGTGGTATCTCACTGTGGTTTTGATTTGCATTTCCCTGATGATTAGTGACTCTGAGCACTTCTTCATACGCCTGTTGCCCATAGGTATGTCTTTGAGAAACCAGAAACACAAAAGACAGATGTCGTCGGGCATGCGATGGTGTAGCCACCATGGAAAATAGCGTGGAGGTTCCTCATAAAAATAAAAATAGAATTATCACATAATCTAGCAATTGCGAAAGAATTGGAATCAGGATCTCAAAGAGTTATCAGCACTCCTGTGTTCATAGCAATGGCCAAGAGGTGGAAACAACCTAAATGTCCGTGGGCAGATGACAATAAAGAAAATGTGGCATCCGCATTACCAGGGAATACTGTTCAGCCTTAAAAGAAGATGAAAATTCTGCAGCATGCAACAGTGTGACCTTTAGTGCATTATGCTAAGTGCATACATAAGCCAGGCACAGAGAGACAAGTGCTGCATGATTCTCCGATCATTATTTAGAAATCCTTTTAGAGGACATTGTTGTCATGAGGATCGGATACATGGCCAGGGACAAATGAGCAGGAAGAGCGTGGCTTGCTGTAGGATAATGGCCGTGTGAACACACTGGGCCTCCTGATGGGGCTTTTGTGCTACTGTGGCGTTTCAGTGTCCAAGGAAAACTGCGCCGCCCAATCAGCCGCGATTGGCCAGGGCCAATTTTCACATTCATTTATTTTAAAAGCCTTTCCCCTTCTCGGAAAACCTTCTCCTTTACGGAATGCGGCCTCGCCCAGGGCTGGCATTTTAGGTGCCTCGGCCCACAGAGCGTTCTGGCCACAAGGGCAGGCCAGTTAAGAACGCAGGCCTGGAGTCACAGAGTGGCCCAGGCCCTGATGCCGCTGCACGTCCGCGTGTTTGCCTTCCACATGGGGGAGGTGCGAGGCCTGTGCTCCGAGGTGCAGACTCCGTGGGAGCTGAGCTGGAAAGCCCTCTGCACACGAGGGGAGGACGGAGGCCGCCAGAATCAGAGTCCGGGAGAGGAGCGGCAGCCTCCAGCCAGGCGGTGTAACCAGGCCAAGAGCCGGATGAGAGGGGCCAGGGCAGAAGACCCCTGTCCTCAGTTTTCCCTCCTTCCCCCTCTCCGCTGAGCCCTGACAACGTCAGAGAGTCCACTGCTGCTCGTTCATCCGTTCTCGTTCATCCATCTGCATAGATCAGCCTCCAGGGGCACAGAGCAGAGGGGAGAGTGTCTCTAAAGGGGCCATGGAAGATTCTAGACTCTTACCCTGTCGGGGAGTGCGGTTTAAGTGAGATACTGCAGCAAAGCTCTCAGAGGAGTTCCTGACCCCAAACTAATGCTCAACTGAGGCTGAACTGAAAAAACAAACTAGAATCTAGTAGTATATTTGCGTACTTGTGCCACAGTCCAATGAAATGGCAACTGGAAGAGAGGCGAGGCTGGGTGGAGGTGAGGAAGAGGCTTTTGGAAGGGGGTCGCCCGTTTTGGGTGTGACAGTCCCCGGGATGGGGAATTCAGATGTTATTCTGAACCATAAGCTTTGAGGCCTAGAAAAATTGGGAATGGCTTTATTGTCTTTGAGTCCCCGCAGGGACATAATATGTGGATTATTTCAAAGGTTTGATATGTAATATAAGTCCCAGTTCTGGAACATTCCTGCACTGGGACTCCAAGTGCAAATAGGCAGCACTGTGGTCACGGAAGCCCCACCTTCTGCATGGGTTGATTACTTCTCCCCGAAGGTGACTTCCACAAACACCTGCTAATGACAGGGAGCTCCCTGCAAAATTGCTAGATCTCAGGAAGATTTCACAACTTCTCTTTGCCCTTCTGTTAACTTTGCAATCCTTATTTTTAAATCTTCTTTCTTAATTTTAACTTACATTAGGCTCCAAGCTAGATCCGTTTCCTTGTCTCCTGTCCTTTAGACAGCCGCGTAAACACGGTATTCTATTAAAAAAAAAAAAAGGCAAAAAACAGAAAAGAACCAAGACCAGAAGAGACTGGAATATACATTAAGAAAATTGGCACAAGAAGAATCAGTCTTCCTCGGAATTTTCTTAAACAATTTTTTCCTTGCAAGGAAAGCCAGACCATAAAATAAAAACACATGCGGTTGTAAATAAACAAAAACCTCACATATCTCAAGTGTAGTTTTCACCAAGACAAACTAACATTTTGCTCTGTCTGCTTTTCCTAACATGCACATTTCATTTCCCCCAAATCCTCATTACAGGAGAAATTCACATGCGCGTCCCCCGGCTGCGGGGTTTCCTTGGGCGGCGGGAAGTATTGCCTGGTGGGTTCAGAAGCACTGGCCCCTGTTCATTTCGCCAAAAGCAGCAAATATTTAAAAATGCAATTTTCTGGGCTCTCGGCTCCTAAAACAACCTCATGGAGATAGATGATTTTGAATCTGTGGGCCCACTTGGAATGTCTCACAGCCTTTAAAATTGTCATCATTGTTCCCCTGCACAGTGGCTGCCGGTGATACGTGTCCCGTGGCAGGAGAACGGCCGTACCAAGGCCGTGTTTCTGACCTTTATTGCATTTCTTACTTGCAAACAGCCTCATCCCCGGCAGTCTGCTGATTCCTGCTAATTGTTCTCATTAACCTGGTCTCTGGTGGTAGCTGGGTGTTGAGCAGTAGTGGGCTGTTCAGAGCTTGTTTGGGTCGTTGTTGTGGAGGCCCCAGAAGCGAGTTCTGCGCCATCTGCTTTGCACCTGGCCTTCGGGATTCAAGCACTGCCATCCCCTGCTCTGTGGCCACTTACAGCTATGGCCTCAATCCCACCTCTCTGTAGCTGTCCCGTCCCAGCCAGGGCCCGCCCCTCCACACGCAGGCCCCAAAGCCTATTCTAGGTCTTTTCTAGCCAGACTGAGTTATAGAGCCACAGCATTTTTTTTTTTTTTTTTTTTTTGAGAAAGAGTATTACTCTGTCGCCCAGGCTAGAGTGAGTGCCATGGCATCAGCCCAGCTCACAGCAACCTCCAACTCCTGGGCTCAAGCAATCCTTCTGCCTCAGCCTCCCTAGTAGCTGGGATTATAGGCATGTGCCACCATGCCCAGCTAATTTTTTCTATATAGTTTTAGTTGAAAAATTAATTTCTTTCTATTTTTAGTAGAGACGGGGTCTCACTCTTGCTCTGGCTGGTTTCGAACTCCTGACCTTGAGTGATCCACCCACTTCAGCCTCCCAGAGTGCTAGGATTACACATGTGAGCCACCGCTCCTGGCTGAGCCATATGGCTCCCATGGAGCCATATCCTCCACATTTTCAGATAAGGAAATTTTGGTTCCCAAAAAACATATCTGTGGCCATCTAATGTTAAAGGTGGCATCAGAACTGATAGCAGAACTGGAATGAGAATCCAAGATTTGATAGCACAAATTGTAGTTGTATTTAATCAAAATCTCTATTCTTATGTTTGCCAGGTGACTGTTGTCCCACGAGAGGTATAAATTATGTATTACTTATACCAGCATCCTAATACAATCTTTCTAAAAATCAACTTTGAAATGGTTCCGTGGAAAAATGGATGGTGTTGTGATACTGCAGACTTATGATGTGTGTCAACCACGCTGACACTCACGGCACGTTCGTGGGCAGAACCACAGCCCTCCATTTGCCTAATCTGGATGTGCTTGGGTGACAATGTGCAGGTTGGGGTGACTTTTGCCAACTGGGAATTTAAGATTATAACATTTCATTATCTTCCTCTGATAATTTCTTAAATAAAATGAACCTGGGGATGCGCTCGGTGGCTCACGCCTGTAATCCTAGCATTCTGGGAGGCCGAGGCAGGTGGATGGCCCAAGGTCAGGAGTTGGAAACCAGCCTGAGCAAGAGCGAGACCCCGTCTCTACCAAAAATAGAAAAAATTAGCTGGGCATGGTGGCGTGTGCCTGTAGGCCCAGCTACTCAGGAGGCTGAGGCAGGAGGATTGCTTGAACTTAGGAGTTGGAGGTTGCTGTGAGCTAGGCTGATGCCATGGCACTCTAGCCCGGGCAACAGCGTGAGACTCTGTCTCAAAAAAAAAAAAAAAAAAAATGAATCTGGAAAGGCCCTGAAATGTATACTAACTATACATATTTTTTTATTTTCCCACCAACCCATCATCTGTTGGGACCAGGATTACAGACAATAAGATCAATAACATTTATGCACAGAACACTATCTGGTGGGTTTTTTGAGTGTTTTGGACTCTGTGGTTGATAACATACAAAGAGGTCAAGTGGACTTAAATAATAGGTATTTGCATTTGATATTGCCTGAATTAACCCTTTTGCTATTTATTAAGTCATGATTTTACATCTGCACCACCTGTGCCCACTAAATATGGGTTCCCGTTGCTGAGATTACATTTACAGCACACATCATGCAGTTTTCCTTTATCCGATTGATAATGTCTCTTCCTTCCAGGCAGAGTGTCAAACCACCACACCAGATATGCAGGCGTGTCAGATCTTATACCATCTTGTCTTCCAGGCTCTGTGGCTACCCTCCTTTTTATGATGAAAATGACTCCAAGCTCTTTGAACAGATCCTGAAGGCAGAATACGAGTTTGACTCGCCCTACTGGGATGACATCTCTGACTCTGGTAGGTCTCCCACGTGCAGCCCCCAGCAGGCGCGACAACTGCACCCAGACCACCTGCCCCTGAAAGGCCCAGGGGTCCCTGGGGAGCTCAGAGAGGTCCCGAGGCTCCTGCCTTGGTCCATTTTGGCTGTTACATAACAAAATACCGTAGACTGGGCAGCTTAAACAGCCAGCATTCATTTCTCACGGTTCTAGAGGCTGGGAAGTCCAAGATAAAGGCGCTGGCGTATTTAGTATCTGATGAGGGCCCTTTGCCTAGTTCACAGACAGCATCTTGTCACCGTGTCCTCACAAGGCAAAGGGGGCCCAGAGAGCTCTCTCGGGTCTCTTTTATAAAGGCACTAACCCCATTCCTGGGGGTTCCACCCTCATGACCTGATCATCTCCTAAAGTCCCCACCTTCAAATGCCATCACATGGGGGTTAGGATTTCCACGTTTGACCTTTCGGGGTACATGTGTGCATACCCACACACTCATAGCACACAGTTCATAACAGTGCTCAAGGAAGCTTCATGAGCTCTGTATTTGAGTTTTACATTTTTGCAAAGCAGAGGACAAGCTTGAGTCATCTGGCTCACTGGGCCAGGCTGTGGGGTGGGGACTCACTCCTCCACGTGTCCTGGCCACATCCCAATCTGGGTGCTCCAGCAGTGGTCTGTAGTAGTCTGCGTGGGCCGCATGTGGTGCTCCCTGAGGACTCGGTATCCACAGAGCCTCCAGGCTTAGCAGGAAGCTCCGTGGGTTTACTTGGATCAGCCACATCTAAACACACAGAGAGGATGTCACCAAAACTGCTCTCTAAGGCAGTGGGGAACTAATTAGAGCCACATGATTACAAAGGTACGTTCTTCTCTGAACCAAAAGTGTCACTAGCAGCTAGAGACAAGGGCCCTGGAGCTGGGGACTTGGGCCCTGGGCCTGGCCACGCTGCCCCCTCATTGACCAGATCACCCTTAGACGGCACCAACCCTGGCCTTCTTTTTCCCCAAGTGCTGGTGCCTTTTGTGTCCAAGGTACAGTAGTAGGGACCTTGGAGGGCTGGTCTCTTACCTTTCATGCCGTACACGACACTCCCAGCGACACGGTGATGTATCATATTGCCGCATCTCCAGCCACGAAGTGACCCCTTCCGATGTGTCTTCTCTTTGAACAGCAAAAGACTTCATTCGGAATCTGATGGAAAAAGATCCAAACAAAAGATACACCTGTGAGCAGGCGGCGCGGCACCCATGGTAAGAGAAATCACTAAGACTGTGTCGTCTAATGCCTCCCAGAGTCAGCTCTTTGTGGGCGGTTCTTGTTTATGAAATGCACACGGGTGTCAGTTTCATCTTGTTCTGGCTGGTGTCTGTGCTTCTCTCCGCAAGCCAATGTTTGAACTCTTTCGTGCCTTCGGGACACGATCTTCTGAATGCACTTGTGAGAAGTCAGGGTGCAAAAGACAGCCGTTGCTCCATGGCTTTGCAGAAAGTGTTTAAGGATCATTTTTATCTAAAGTAATCGCCCAAGGAGGCATTATAAGACTGGAGTTTTATTCCTTGAGTTTACTACTCAGTAGTTTAGTTAATTGAAGTTGCCTATTTTTTTCCCTTGAAGATGCTTTTCGAATTAGTGTTTCTTCAGTTCTAGAGAGAATGATTAATAGCTTTTTTCACATTTTCAGCAGTTAGAACCCTGCTCTACTGTCAGCTAGCTGTGACGTTGGGCCTATACTTGACTTTTCTGAGCTTTAGGTGTTTCATTGTTACATTGAGAATAACAGCACCTAATTTACAGAGTTGACCTGAGAAATCACGGAGATAGTGCCTGCAAGGGTTAAGCTCGATGTCTGGTACATAATAGATGCTCAACTAATTGTAGCTCTTTTTATTAAAGCACTAGGAGCATCTGTTTTAAAACAAATGCCAAGAGTAGTAAAATACTCAATATAATAATGAAAATAAATACATAGAACCTTCCTAAAATTCTTTTAGGAAGCACTCTAGAAAGCCATCCCCTGTTCAGCCAACTGTGTTCTATGGCATCTCCTCTAGGGTATCACATGCAGGTTGGTCTTCCAGAGGGGACCTGCTCACAGGTAGTGTCATGATCCAGTTTCACAGCATCTTAATGGGTAATACGCATCACTTTTTCCATCTCTGTTGTGTTCCCGGCACTAAGCTAATTGCTTGAATGTATTGTCTGCTTTTTTCTTTCTAATAACCCTATGAGATAGGTTTTATCTTCCCTTCAGAGCTAAAGGAATAGAAGAGGTAGTAACTTAGCCACGACTGCACAGCTAGCTAGTGACAGAGCCAGGAGTACAGCCAGAACTGATTCCAAAATGATGCTCCTCACCCTTCATCACCATGCTGAGAGAGAGGAAAAGAGGAAGAAAGGAAAGGGTTAGGGGCAGAAGGAAAGAATGTTCTGGAAAAGTAGTCAGTTGGGATTGTGCATCATCTTGACATTTTTAATTAGTCACTTTGGCCAATAGGACAAACCAGAGAAGGGAGGGATCAGTCTTACTGAGGGGCCTGGAAGTGGGGTGAGGTGAGCTCAGCAGAACACGATGCCCGTGAGTCATGTACCATGAGAAGCTGCCCCCAGGCCGGCAGGGAGGGGACAGTGGCACTTCAGGCAGGGCAAGCAGCCGGGGCCATGGGGCTAGGGATGCAACTGTACGTCTAGTCCTGGAGCCACCAGTACCTGGTTTTCTGGAGGAAGAGCAGACAAAGGAAACAAAGGCAAGAGGGGAGGGTAGAAAGGAATACAGGAACTGGCAGGTTCCAGCCAGGCCTGCTCCACTCTGAGGCCCAGCTTCACCGCTTACTATCCTGTGCACGAGCTCCTTAGCCCTGGGGACCACCTTGCAGAATCAAGATCATGAATAGCAGCAACATACAGCCTCCATGTAACGAAGACGAGTGCCTGGCCCCCGACACGTGTGCAAGTGGCCATTATTTTATTGCTGTACTAAGGGATTTGTGCTTTTCCCTTTGGGCAGTGGGGCTCTTGGCAGGTTTGAAGCAGGGTGACCAGATTTGATTTTAGGAATCCCGATCTGGCCACAGGAGAGAGGGCGAGTGGTGGGATAGGGGATGGAGGAGGGTGGCAGGAAGGTGCAGTGGAGAGGTGGGAGGAGGCTGGCCCCGAGGAGGGTGATGGTGGCCTGGCTGGCAACAGGACAGGGATGGGAGGGGTGCAGAGGACAATGAGCCACACTCGTGCTGAGAAGCCACAGGCATTGGGCAGAGTGCTGGTAAGGGGTTGCGGATTATTCCCAAGTTCCAGCTGAAGGGACTGGGGACACGGTTGTGCTGGGAGGAGGCGCAGGCTTCAGGGCAGAGAGTGAGCTCAGCCTCGGCACACCGGGCTGGAGGCTAGAGGTCCCAGGTCCTTGCACACAGAGCTCTATGGCGTGCGCTCTGCCGAATGATCCAGGAGCCTGTGGTGTCAGCTGGAAAAGCTCAGAGTTCCCAGGCTGTGTACGAGTCTGTGGGCTGTAGCAGCAAAGGGCTTGATTTGAGAGGTGATTATTTCCCCATGCTTTGTATTTTTATTGTGCATCTCAAGACTTCCAGAAAGTCAAACACTGGAAAATGACAAAAACAAATGCGTTTGTCCCAAGCATCGCTGCAACTCCCCACTTGCCTGCGTTCATGACACATTTGTCTCTTTTATGCAAAATCGCCCGGGCAAAGGAGAACGCAGGCTCCACTGGGAGCCGGCAGGAAGTGGAGCTATTCCTACAGCAGAGTGAGCTTCCCCACGTCCCCACTCTGCATGTGTGTTCTCAGCACACCGGGGAGTGTCATCTGTCATTCCTCGCCTGTGTGTCCAACTTAACCAAGACCACCCAGGGCTAGCGAGGCCTCAGAAACCACAAGCGCCTTCCCTGAGCCTCAAAACAGACCCCTCGGACAGGAGAGGGCTCTTTCCCGAGCTCTCCTTGCAGAAAGCAGGCAGCCCTCTCACCAGAGGTTCCCAAGCACCTTTCACCTGAGGCTTGGCTTCCTCTCGGCGGTGCGTGGCCAGGCCCCCCAGGCTGCTGACCGATGGCTGTTACAGGGCAGCACCTCAGAGGAGCCCATCTGTCCAGGGCAGTTGTTCTGAGCATCCGTGTCTGGTTTTGCAGGTGAATAAGGCCGAAGCTAGTGTCGGCATCCTATGCTATTGTTAGAAACTTGCTAGCTTATGGGAACAGCATTGGCAAGCAACCTACAGGGATGAGCAAGACAGAGAGACTGAGAGAGAGAGGTTAATTTATTTTAAGGAATTAAGGTATTGATTCGCATGATTCTGGGGGCTGCAGAGTCCAAAAGTCCGCAGGGCTGTCTGGAGACCCATCAAGAGCTGATGTTGCAGCTTGAGTCCGAAGACAGTCTGGAGACCGCGTTTTCTCTTCGTCTTCTCTTAGGGCTCCAACTGATTAAAATGTTAATCACATCTAAAAAATGCTTCCACGACATTATCTAACTAGCATTTGGCCAAAAATCTCTGAGTACCAATGGCCTAGCCAAGTTTACCATAAAATTAACCATCATACTCCGGAATGTTCACTGAGACCCCCCTCCCCTCTTCTGGGCTCCAGTCGGCCATAGGAATTGGGGGGCAGCCCGGGAGTCCAGCAAGCACTGTCTGGGATTCACGCCAAGCATCCCCAAACCTGTCTTAAGCAAGTGGCTAGAAAAATGCAGAGCCAGAGTGGTGGATGTAGAGTAGACCACATAGGAAACAAAAACACCAGCCGCAGGGAGAGATGAGTTTGATGATCTGTGTGCAGACAAGGATAGCAAGACAGGCCACGAATGGTGTGGTTCTGTAAATACCATCTTTATTGTCCATGTAGATTTTTTTTTTTGAGACAAAGTCTCACTATGTTGCCCAGGCTCAAGTGCCGTGGCGTCAGCCTGGATCACAGCAACCTCAAACTCCTGGGCTCAAGCAATCCTTCTGCCTCAGCCTCCTGAGTAGCTGGGACTACAGGCATGCGCCACCATGCCCAGCTAATTTTTTCTATATATATTTTTAGTTGGCCAATTAATTTCTTTCTATTTTTAGTAGAGACAGGGTCTCACTCTTGCTCAGGCTGGTTTCAAACTCCTAACCTTGAGTGATCCTCCTGCCTCGGCCTCCCAGAGTGCTAGGATTATAGGCGTGAGCCACCATGCCCAGCCAGTCCATGTAAATATTAAAACAAGACAGCAAGAGAGACATGGATAAAACATGTACACCCATCACTTTACACACACATGTGTGTCTACAGATGTATAAGGAAATTCTGCTGTATCAGAAATATTGGTTAATTTCTAGGACAATCTAGGTGACCGCTAAGGTCCCTTCCAGTTTTAAGATTCCATGCCTCTGGTCTTGTGGGCAAATGATACTGAAGCTAGTGTCAGGGTCCTGCGTTGTTATTGTAAACTTCCTAGCTTACGTGAGCAGCAGCGACTGTTGTCACTGCGGTGCCCATTTGAGGAGGACCATGTTGTGCTATCGTGGCCCCAGGTGGCAGCACCCTCCCCTGAAAGAAGGTGGCCTAACAAGGAGCCGTTGGGCCACCTTCTGCACAGCTGGACTCCCAGCCAGCCGTAGCACAGCCTGGGGCTATGGCAATGAGCAGGAAACCTTCCTAAAATAATCAAAAGCTTGCATTTCCCTTCCATCTGGGCCCGCACGAACCCGCAGAGATGGCGTGGGAAGCAGAGCGCAGGCGACAGGCCCCAGGCTCCAAGTGTCTGAGACCACGCTGCGGACTGGCAGGTGGAACCCGAGGCCCAGAGTCCCCCTGGGCCCCACCTCCAACCAGCCTGTTTGCTTGGCACTCTTTGCAGCAGTGCTCGGCCCCAGGAATCCCACCCTTCCTACCACTCCTACCACCCTGTCGTTTCCAAGAAACAGCTGGCCACTGACAAGTTGGAACTGGCATCCTTTTCTGAGGATGTAGCTTAAAAAGCATGGTCTAGGAGGAAACCCTCTCGTGGGCTGTCTAGGAGAAAAAGCTGCGTGAAGATGTCCCCAGCGCCCTAACCTCCTGACTCTGGTTTCAGGCGGATTTGCCCATTCAGATATCTCATCTCTGTTTCAGTGGGTGTCTGGGAAGAGGGGGCAGTTGACATTGGTTGGAGCTGGAAACCCATTTCACTGGGGTGACTTCTGAGAGTCCTCTTGGCTGTGTTTCCGGCACTGCTGGGAAGGAAGAGGAGTGCATTTAGGTGGAAGTTGCTCTTAGCTGGGAGTATCAGCCTGGATTCTAAGCCAGGCCTGCCCCGCACAGACTTAACGTCCAGGCCAGACATCCTCAAACTACGGCTCATGAGCCACATGCGGCCCACCAAGGACATTTACCTGGCCCGCCAGGTGTTTTTGCCGCCGACCCGTCCCGGGCCCACAGTGCGCATGCGTGGAATGTGCGCCCCACTCTCCAACGGCCCTCCAACAGTCTGAGGGACAGTGAATGGCCCCCTGTTTAAAAAGTTTGAGGACCCCTGGCCTAGGCTATGAACCATGTTTGCAGTTCCGGAGGGGGAGTCTGGGCGGGTAGGATGCTTTCTTGTCCGAATAAGCCCTGAGCTTGTTCCTTTCATCTCTCAAGGCAGCTGAAAGCAGCAGTCAGTGGTGTCCAGGGCTGCTTTGTCCCCAGAGCATTGGGGTCTGGGAAAGGTCCCTCACTTACCAGTCGCCTCCCAGCCAGACCTTGGCATCAATCAATACCTGTCTGATTGTAGGCATCAGATACCATCCCAGAATTTAATAGTTCAGTGCTAAAGGAAGACGGAGGGATTAAAGTCCAGAAAACGCTGAGAGCAGAACACGGTGGTTGGGGGACAGAGAGAGAGGGACAGGGCAGGGAGGACGCTGCCATCCGGAAGGGCATGTGTGTGGGTAGCAAGAGCTGTGAGTGACCTCCAGGTAATTCCAAGCCTAGAGATTGGGAGCTGACAGAGGGGGGAGACGTAAGACCCAAGAAAGAGACAGCAGAGGGAGCGAAGAGTAGGGTGCGGAGGACTCTACAGAGAGGGCTGATGAGCACAGCAGAGTTCCGCCCTGCTAATTGGAGAAGGTTCAGGAACAAGCAAGAGCTAAGAAAGGATTTCCCAGGGCTGTCGAGGGCCCAGTTGAATGCAGAGTGAACATGGTCCTCAAAGCTCTGAGAACTTTCTAGAAAATGCAGGGGCAGCAGGCGCACAGGCAGGATTAAGCACGGAGCAGGTGTTGATTGAGCACGGAGCAGAGCATCACACACAGGGCTTAGCTCAGCAGGGCTGGAGCCAGGAGGGAGCTGAGAGTCCCAGGATGTGAGTGGGGTTGATGGCACGGAGGTCCTGGGAGTCATCGTGGGAGGTGTCATGGATTCCAATGGTACAGGAATTCGGTCAAAAGAGAAAAAGAGAGCCAGGTGATGAGGCCAGCCCGGAGGGTGGTGGCGGATCCAGGGGAGGAAACACAGTGTAGAAGGCAGGTAGGACTTGGGGGTCATGGTGGTGGAATGTGTGGGCTTGGGGAAGGGCCAGGTGGCGGCCCGGGCAGCTGGCAGGGCAGTGGCCACCCTCTGCCCGACCCGACCAGCCTCCATCAAAGCACCGAAGAAACCATCTCAAAGAAGCATGTCTGCCTCTGTTTCAGGATTGCTGGTGACACCGCCCTCAACAAAAACATCCACGAGTCCGTCAGCGCCCAGATCCGGAAGAACTTCGCCAAAAGCAAATGGAGAGTAAGTCTTGAGTGTGTCGAATGCCCAGTGAATGTGGCCGCTCTCGTGCCGCTCATTCTGCAGTTGGAGCATGTCTCACTGCTAAAGGTTATGGTCACCTGAGTTGGGACAAAATTCCCCAGAACCTCACCAGAATGATTTTGCCAGTTTTAACCAATAATAATTAAGACTTAGAGGGAGTGTCATGCGTGAGAGGGACAGAGTGAGTGATTAAACGTTGCCCCTCTGTCATGTACATGTCAAGTCATGACAACTCTCATTAATTTGCTATTTCTTAAGCAACATAATCCCTTTGTATTTATTCACTTTGCTAGAACTTTGAATAATTGACTTTTTTTTTTTTTTTTTGAGACAGAGTATCACTCTGTTGCCCTGGCTAGAGTGCTATGGGGTCAGCCTAACTCACAGCAACCTCAAACTCCTGGGCTCAACTGATCCTCCTGCCTCAGCCTCCCAAATAGCTGGGACTACAGGCATGCGCCACCATGCCCGGCTAATTTTTTCTATATATTTTTAGTTGCCCAATTAATTTCTTTCTATTTTTAGTAGAGACAGGGTCTCTCTCTTGCTCAGGCTGGTTTTGAACTCCTGAAATTGAGTGATCCTACTGCCTCAGCCTCTCAGAGTGCTAGGATTACAGGCATGAGCCCGGCCTGAATAATTGACTTTTATAAAAGTGATATGAAGGGGGGAAAACACCAGGAAACCTGAGTTGAACTCACCAATATTTCCTGGTAAAAAAATTGACAGATTTAAACCATAGAGTCTTTGTGATCATGTATTAATTCCCCAAACTCTAATAATGTTCTAATCAGCATGGGGAATTATGAGCCTGCTGTTTTGTTCTGAGAGCCAACAATGAGAGAGACAGTAAGAAACAAAATTAATTCCACAGGCCTGCTTTATTCAAAGGAAATGATATTTAAGACAAAAGTACCAACAATGGGAAAATAACTATTTTAAAATGATATATTTTAAGGTATTATAATATGTCTTCATTATATATGTCTTATATATATTATATGTAATAGACATATGTAAGATATTACATATAAGACATATAAAAGATATATGTCTATTATATATGTCATATATATTATATATGTCTTTTTCCAAAAGTCACTTAAAATTTAGAGAATTATTTCACGTGTCTGCTATGTGTATATGATATGAGAAGAAAACTATTTTAAATCTCCAAAATGTATTTTGATGGGGAGGGAGTGTTACACATCAGTGTACTTTTAAAAGAAAAGGCAATGTCACTTTTCTTTCCAGAGTGTCAGGAGAATGACTTAAGAAGTTTGAAATGCCCAGGGTAACAGGATAAATGACAGGACGGGACACAGCCGGAGTCTTTTCTAATTAGCTGGAATATTTTGTCTACTTTTTTTCCTTTCTTAAATTTCAGCAAGCGTTCAATGCCACAGCTGTCGTGAGACATATGAGAAAACTACATCTCGGCAGCAGCCTGGACAGTTCGAATGCAAGTGTCGCCAGCAACCTCAGTCGGGCCAGCCAAAAAGATTGTGCGTATGTAGCAAAAGCAGGATTCTTTAGCTGGGTCGCAGACACGTCCGGGGCAGAGGCGGGAGGAGGATCAGTCACTTGCTGAGTACCTACTGTTTGCCTGGCACTTTCAATACTTCCATCCCATTCACACAGCCACCCTAGGACATTTTAGAAAATAGTATCGTTTAACACTCACACGATGCTGGGTATCACTATTTCCATCTGTAGATGAGAAATCGTGGCTCACGTTACACACAGTCTTTGCCTGGATAGAGACCCAGACGCTTTTTTTTAATCTTTATTATTTTATTTTATTTTATTTTTTTGAGACAGGGTCTCAGAGTGCTGTGGCATCTGCCTAGCTCACAGCAACCTCCAACTCCTGGGCTCAAGCGATCCTCCTGCCTCAGCCTCCCGAGTAGCTGGGACTACAGGCACGCACCAATGTGCCCGGCTAATTTTTTCTATTTTTAGTTGTTTGGCTAATTTCTTCTTATTTATAGTAGAGACAGGTCTTGCTCTTGCTCAGGCTGGTCTCGAACTCCTGAGCTCATGCAATCTTCCCGCCTCGGCCTCCCAGAGTGCTAGGATTACAGGCTTGAGCCACCATGCCCAGACAATTTGTGATCTGTCTCCTTGCCTCTGATTTGTCTCTCACTGTGGGGTCACTGTCAGGATAGAGGAAGGATGGCCTGATGTCACTGACTTTGAATACATATTTTTTCAATGATGAGGATGATAATAATTTGAACTTGTTTATGCAATGTACATTGGCTTAGCAAAAAAAAAAAACAGTGATGGTAACAGTATTGCATCATCCTTCATCTTTGCATGGGCTGTTCTATCCCATGGGCACACTTAGGCCTTCCTCATTTCTCTCTCCCACTTCCCTACTCTGTGCATTTATCTAACTGTCCTTTGGGACCACCCTGCCCTTACATTTCCCCAAGAACTCTGCACGTAGCCTTCCTGGCCCGATCCACACTCACATTCCAGCGTGACTCCTTTCCACCCTCTGCTCAAAGGGAGCCCCGCGATTGATCGTTTCTTTAAAGATTCAAACAATGACCTTGACAGCCAAGTCCATCTTAGGAATTTATTTTATGGGTCTCGCTGTGTTCGAGCATGCACAGCCCTGGGGGCCCTCGCTGGAGGGCCAGCCGCAGCCATCGCAGCCACGCCAGGGCCTTCCCGTGTCCTCACATCCGCCTGGGAACTTTCCCAGCCCAGGGGACTGCTGAGTTCCCGCAGCAATAGATGCACGTCCTTATTTCAAAGTGCCCTGCGTCACAAAATGCTTCTCAGCCAGACAGCACGCCAGCCAGGCGTCAGAACGGGGTGTCAGAATCTTCCTTCGTTCTTAAAATACCTGCTGCACAGAGCTGTTGTGAGACACGAGCAATGCTTATAGTGGCAGTGTGTATTCAACAGCCAGCCTGGCGCCTCGTCCATAGTAAGTGCTCAGGGCCACGTGGTTTTCAAATACAAATCAGTTATAATCAAGAGAGGAGAGGAGCGTTGGGTCTGAGAGTAAAGCATTTTGCACACATTGCGAAGGTCTTCCCGTAGGTAGGTTCCCACGTAGAGTCACCTGGGTAAAAGTTGAGCCCCCCCACACACACCCAGCCCAGCTGATGCCCTGTTGGTGGGGAGGAGGGGCGAGAACTTGCTTCTGGAGCTCTGAACCCCGCCGTGTCTGCTGTCCCCCCTCCCCGCCCCCCGCAGGCCTGGCCCCTTCCACGCTCTGTAGTTTCATTTCCTCTTCGTCAGGGGTCTCAGGAGTCGGAGCGGAGCGGAGACCCAGGCCCACCACTGTGACGACAGTGCACACGGGAAGCAAGTGACTGGCTCTGGAGGTGGGGGCCGGGGCCGGGGCGCCCCTCCCGCCAGCCCCCATCTTGCATGGTGCACCTCCCTGCATCGGACTGGAAGACAGAAGTTTTTTTTATGGCCATATTTTCTACTGCAATTCTGAAGTGTTCATTCCGCACAAACCGTGCTGACTCCAGGGGGGCCGGCCTGGCGGGGCCGGCGCTGCGCATGCGCGCCTGGCGAAGCTGTGTCCGGACCGACCTCTGACCCCTCGCCCCGGCGCGCCGTTTCCTCTCTTCTCGGCTTAGGTAACCGCCTACGGTGTATTTTTTCATTGACGACAAAAACAAAAAAATGGTTTCAACTGGATTATTTAAATACTGGTAAATATTGTGCATTAGGGTTTTTGGTTTTTTTTTTTCATTTTAAGACGTATGTCCTTTTGACTATATCTCTCAGTTACATGATCTATCTCTTTTGCTCTTTCCTAGTGGTTTTATGTTAACCTATAAGAGATTTTCTTTTTTTCCTCCAAGGGGAATTTAAAGGTATTTTTTAAAATTCTAATAAGAGAATCCAGAATCCGTCTCCAAGGCTTAAGAGTGCACTTTACTTCCATTCCTTGTCTCCTCCTCCCTTCCTGGGGACGGGAGCTCCGAGCAGCCAGCCCGGCAGGTCTACAGAGCTGGGTTCTCTCCAGGGTGGCTTTGGGGGGAGACACTGCAGCCCCATCCTGCCCCTGGGCCAGCAGACCCCAGGCCAACCGGAGACCAGAGGGGCCTCTTGCCATCTGGAAACAGAGAAGCCACTCCCCCGGGACCCGAGGCTAAGCGTCACAGGCCAGCCTTGCTGTGACACATCCGTAGGGCAGAGACGCGCGAGCCTCCCGTCCAGAAGGAGCAAGCTGCCGTTGTGTGTCCAGTGAACCCACGCACGACCCTCGTTTCTCATGAGAGGTGGCAGACGAGAGCTCTGATCTCAGCTATGCAGTTTTAAAATGAATCTCTCTCTCTCTCTCCTCTCTGTTTTTTAAAAAAATACATTTCTAACCTTATGCTTACAATGGCCTCCGACACACACGAGCTGTTTCTGCACATTTTTACCTGATTCTTAGATGGATGTTTTCAGAGGGTCAGGAGGGAGGTGGCCTTGGACAGGCATCTGACTGTGGTGGGAAGGAGAGGTGGCCTGGCGGGCGAGCGGGGCGCTGGCCACCGCAGACATGGCCAGCGATGGTCTCAGCCAGGGCATCAGGAACGCTTGAAGCTGTCCCTCTGATCAGGGGAGTCTAAAACCTGAGACTGGTGGCGCTAGGGTGACCGCCTGCCCCTGTGTGCCTGGGACCGAAGGATTTCCCAGATGTGGGACTTCTAGTGCTAAAACCGGGGTTGTCCTGGGCAAACTAGGTCATCCCTGGTGGTGGGGAGGAGTGCAAGAGGGAGCGAGGGCCACGTGCCACCCAGGGCAAACCTCCTTCCAAGGAGGCTCCAAGTGCCAGCTCTGCAGGAGCCGTCCCTCGGCCCCTCACGTCCACCCACGGCCCCGAGTCTGAGTCCCCCAGTCAGCCCTGAGCCACCTCGGGGGTCCCAGCGGGTCTTCCTGGCGGCCCAGCGATTCCCAGCTACCGTCCTCTCACCCTTTGACTCTACAGTTGGCCAGTCGAGGGAGTCCAGTTGGTCAAGCCTTGATTGTCACTTCCACACCTTTGCCTTTGTCCAGGCAGAATGTTCAGCGATGCCCCAGCTGTGCCCGACACGCATACACACACGCACACGCACACACACACACACATAGTGGTATCAGACTCAGCAGCCCCCAAGGACGGCAGCACAGGCGTGTCAGAGCATCTGGGAAGACAGGCAGCCGGTCTACCTGTCCCCACGTGCGGAAATCCGGCTTGGCATCTGCCACACGGGCTGAAAAATCAAGCTGTCACTCTTCAAAATCTGGAACAAGCCTAGAAAAGTCTTTAAAGTGACAACAGACCCAGTTAAGAAGCAGGTGTCACCTGAGTTGAATACGTGTCCCTCCCTCCTTCAGAAGGACAGTGGCACGAATATTATAAACAGTATTTGGGAAAACTGAGGCATCTCTCCAGAGGTCTATTAGGCTGTTCCTTACTAACGAGTATCATGGGAGCATGCATGTCTGCACAGCATAGGAAAGAAAGAAACTAGGATGTTGCAGGGAGGGGTCGCTTACCTGAATTTGGGACCTGCAACGTGTGCACGAACAGTTAGGATTAGCTCTGTGCGCTGTGCGATGCACAGTCATTTGCATTTAGAAAGCCACATTTGAAGCCAAATTCCATGAATGGTGATTGAAGTCGTTTCTGGAGCCGAAATGTGGGGTGCACGCTGTATGCAATGAGTTTGGAAGTATCTTTCCTGGAAAGAGCAGAACAGCTGGGAGGGGGCCCTAGTGCAGGTTCTCAGCCATGCTTGGCCTGTGTCACGCCAGGTCTCGGTCACATCATGTGAGGAGACGGTGACAGGTGTCAGCCCAAGAGTGGACTCCAGGAAGGCCATACTGTCGTGATGCCACCAGGCTTAGGTTGCTTCCTGTTGTTTTAGAAAGCGAGGAGCCTTTGCTCTTTTGAGAGGGCCCCTTGATATGGGACAGAGGTTCCCTTGAGCTGCACTTGGTGTGATTTGTGTTTATCACAGAAGGGGAAGAGAACCAGATTGAAGACCGAACAGAGGGGTGGCAGAGCCCTGGGCCCCTCACTGGTGTCACTAGTAGTAGCTGAGCACCCCACGTGCTGGGGGAAGGGACAGGTGGACGCATAGTCACTGTCACAAGCTGCTTTCCTGACCCCAAGCCCCCCCCATTCTGTCACTTCCTCTTAGAGCAAGTGGATTTTCTTTTCTCACTTGATTATTAAGTTTGGAAATAGTGGCCGGGAATGGCAGTCCCCTCAGCTGCCTGTTTGTCCCTCCCGTCCAACAAGAGAGGCCGACATCCATTGAGACAAACCCTGCGTGGCGCCACACTCGGCTTGTCGCTCTTAGCCCGAGTGGGCCTGGGGTCTGGGCTGCTGTCTGCTCCAAACCCCCCTTCCTGGTGGGCACGTGCAGGAGAAAGAGGGCAGACAGCACGTTCAGGGCCACTGGTCCCCAGCTCCCACTGCCCCTACTGCACAGGAGGAGAGAAAGATGGTCTCCCCTTCAGATCTCCTTCCTAAAGAATTTAAAGAACTATTCAGAAAGCATGCCAAGAAAAAAAAGGAAGAAAGAAAGAAAGCAGTGTGGCTTAGTGTTCTGGACTGTGGCCATGATTCCGGTCACTTCTAAAATCTCACTTCAAGGACAGGGAACAGCCTCCCCCCTGACCCCAAGCACAGAAGCTTATGACCTTTGAAAGGTGGCCCCCTGAAAGTGTGGCCCCCACTCTCCAGCCAGCTCTTGCTTAGCGTGGCCTCCAGGAACCCAGCAGTCAGACGAGAGCAAAAGAAGATGCCCACGGCTGAACAGGCCAAGGTTTGGCTTGCAGAAAAGCATCAGCAGTCTGATTAAAGGCATTTGGCACAGAGAGCCCCAGCCTCAGTTTACCCACCCAGCACTAATCTCATGTGCTTGGTGTCCAGCATGTCCTGGATGGATTATGGGTGGGAGCAGGCACTCCTCTTTAGAACAGAGGTCAAGAACACCAGGCACATGGGGGAGGGAGCCCAGGCCACCCCTCTTGAAAGCGGGTTGATCCTCTCATCCATGCAAGGCCAGGTTAATGTGGTTCACCCACACTGAGCAGTTTTCTACAGAAAGAAAATATCCTGGTGGAAGTGGATTCAGTTTTTAAGGCTTTGGGCACCAGGCCCCTTGCCCCACCCAGAGCCTTGGCCAGAATCGTCTTCACACTGGGGAAGCTGCACTTGAACTTCTGCTCCAGGCTGGAGACAGGAGACCCAGGGCTCCACTGGGTACGAGAAAAGGAAGCAGGGGCCGGCACAGGGCAGCTCCTCCCGTTTTTTCAGAAACAAGAGATACGATGTCCCTTTCCCCAGGTTGTCACTGTCACTTCTGGCAAATGAGGTGAAGGTCCTCTGGTCGAACCAGTGCACGAACCCTTTGCATGTCCTTCTGAAACAGTGCTCCGTCCCCGTCTGTCCACTCACACTCTGCAAAGTTTGCCTTTTCCTTAAACATTCCAGACCAAACACTGTTCAGTTTGTTTAAAAAAAAATGTATATACCTGTATGTAATCCACCGCTCTTTTGGGGGTACCTGGTCCTACGCTGGGGCTGCAGGTCTGCCTGACTTTTGCAAAAGGTGGTCCAATCCCTTTGATTTTCAGAATTGGAAATGGGGACCTAGAGAAGTTGGATTGGGGAAACAGGTTCCTAAAAAGGGGGGCTTATTTCCTGAAGACTCCAAGGACATTCGTGTGCAGATGAGTTCGCTTGACAACCTCAGCGGTGGCGGGGAGTGGGCGGGTTGGAGAAAGAGGACAGGAAGGGGGGCCGTGCCCCACTCTCCCGGCACCTTGGGGGTCGCGTTGCGTGGCGTCCGCAGCCCGGGTGTGTGCAGCAGCCCCGCCCCGCCCTGCCCCGCCGCGACGCCGGCCCTGCATGCTGGCCAAGGCCCAGCCACCCCCAATGCTTCCAGAAGGAAGGGGGCCAGCCCTTCCCGGACTGCCTGCCACCTCCAGCGTGAGCAGCTCAGCTCGTGGCTCTGGCAGGGGGGGCTCTGCTTTTGCAAATCCAAAAACAGGCTGTGCATTTGGAAGCCAAACGCTCAGCATGTGGCTGCCAAGTCTGGTTTTGTGGACAAAGCAAACCGTGGAATGGCTTCTCGGTGTCTGCGTCCTTCCACACCAAAGGAACAAGCTGTGGCACCCGCCCTGTGTCCTAACGCCGCTTCTGCACTCGCCGCTCCGTTTTTAACCTCGTCTCCGGAGAACTCCTCCTACGATGATTATGTCTTCTGATGATCTGCCATATTATTTTACTTACAGGTGATTTTATTTTCTTATGGACAGGAAAAAAGAAAAAGAGAGGAGTGTTTGAGGCTTCAGTCTTAGCGATTAAGACCTCAGCAGGGACTCACGAGCCCCAAACACTAAATTGCTTCTCAAAGGAAAACCTCAGCCTGGACTGAGATCCCCCCCGGGTCCCCTGGAAGCCCCATAATGGGGGGTGCAAGGGCCCTGGGGCGTGGTCGGCAGCCAGGCTGCAAGAAAGCCAGGAGGGAACGAGAACATCAGCTCGGATGCTTGTCCCGCAGCCCTGCCGCTTGCCACAGTCCTTCCCTGGGCACTGGGCTCCTGCCAGGGGCACGAGACGCTGTCCAACTGGCCACAGAAACGCTGCGGCTTTGTAGCAGCCTCTTCGTTTTGAAAGATGGGGCGGCGTGTTTCAGAGAACATTTGTC